GAGTTTGGGCAGCCCTGCTTTAAAACTTTACCTGAATCTTAAAACTTAACTTTCAAGCACTACTTAATTCTCCAGTGCAGGTTGAGATTCAAAGGTGGAGTTGGAGGTTATAACAAAGAGTACATGAATTCCACCATTACTGCCATTTACAGGTCTGAAGGTGGACTAATTGAGAGTCATTTAGGGCAGGCTTGTTTCCTCTATAGATTTTCTTTTAATCAAACCTCAGTCCTTTAATGAAGCGCTGGTTCGCAGCTAATCATCAGCCCTGAACCCCAGTGGAAACAAACTTGTCGGACATCATTAAAGCTCTGTGTATGTCGCTCGGTTGAGGCGTCCGCCTCGCTGCGCTGAAAGTACTGCAGCTAATTAAGAGCTAAAGCTTCTCTCTGATCCCCCGACGAGCACAAGGGTCCAAAACGAAAGCTGCTTTGAGATTACTCGTATTGTCATGCTGAGAAACCCGCTGAGAGAATTTCCGCTAATTGAGCTTGGCCTAATGGGACTGATGACATTTTATAGTGCCGTGTTTTCGGAAAAACCAAACGTTTCAATCACATCATCAGTCGTCGGAAAGCACAAACAAGCTGCCATTTAAGGACCGGACAGTTGACGAGTTGCTATTAGCAGTCTAATTAATTCAATTTTGAATGAACTAATGTTTCATGGCAATGTATGGAAGATAAGAAGACTGATGTTTGATCGCTAGGCGCTAATGTCAGTGAAGTAGGTCACAACTCGACAGAAATTGGTTTTATCCTCAGCCATGACAGCGGTGCCCAAAATACTGTCCATAATCAGTTATGGTTTTTCAAAGTGATCCGTCTTAGTTTACTTTTGACTGACTCTTGAAGGAAACTTAATTTTGTCAATGAGAAGAAAACCTTAAACTTATATAGATCTTGCAGTGCTAAAATATGAGATTTTCAAAAGAAATAGACATATTGTTATAATGTAGGTTTATCATAGTTAACTACACTCTAAAAAATGCTGGGTTGTTTTAACCCAACTTT